AGAGAGAGAGTTCTTCTTCTTCCTCTTCTAAGTCCACCATCTCTTCTCACCCTCTCACCACCTGACTTCTCAGTATCAGCAGACTACGACAGAGAGAGAGAGAGTTGTGACTTGAGACTTGACAACATTGGATCCAGACTCGACATTGGGATTCAGACATTTTGACGAGGGACTATTTGGGCCTGTGTCGAAGACTTAGTGTTGACGACATTCCTATCTTCCCCTCTTCTTCGTCTAACCCCCCTCTTCTTCGTCTGTGTATGGTTGGGGCTGGCGCATTCTTCCTGTGTGAGCGCCAGACCCCTTCACACCATGGAATGATGATGATGATGTATGTTCAGGGCTGCATTGCAACATTGATTTTTCGGATCATTGGTATCTAAGTCTTCAGCTACGCTATCTTGTACTTTGTGAGAGAGGTCGGTTCTTGTTCTGGTCTGCACCGTTACAGTATGCAACACCCACACGTCCCCTTCACGGCCCCTCTCACTATCTACTTCCCAATCCACACACCCTGCAAAAAGGTTATCATAGTAACTGACCACGTCCTCGTCGTCGAGCCCACCATCCTCTGCATACGAGACGCTGTCTTCCGTGTAGAAAAGAATATCTCTATGTTGCAACTCCCCCACCAGCTCCATCACGTTCCCAAAGAGCTGCGCCCCTATATATGTCTTCGTCTCTCTCACAGTTGGCCCTACCCCTTCCCGCGCGTCTTGGTGAGCCACGTCACCAACAGCAGATGCCACGTGGCCAATCAAGGAGCCACACACATCTGCTGGGCGCGCGCGCAGGCCCAGCGTCCGAGGAGCTCCCCTCCCCAGGCGCTAGTCGAGCCGGGGAACCGGGTCTTACCGGTCCGCCGGCGTCGGGCGCTAGCCAACGGGATTGTCAATTCAACAACACATCTCACCATTGGCAATTACATGGAATCCATCCATACATGGAACCTGAGCGTTGTCCACACAACGTTCACAATAATATTTGATGCCACGTGGGATACCATTCCACCAGTGGCTCTTTGCTTTAGGTAGAGAGGCCCTGGGGCGGATCTGTCAATTTGACGGAAGGAATCCGGCCGTTTCAGATCCTCTCCCTGTGTCTAGTCACCCTCTCTGAATGCATGCGTAGCCACAGGGTATGAGGAGATACACCAGTAGACACAAACCACCCAGCAACTAATCAATTTGAACAGGCGTGATGATCGCCTTTCTTGCTCAGTGACACAGAATAACTCTCCTCCCCTCCCAGAAAAAGCACTCACCCAATAATTGATGCACCATGACTAATGAGCGCCTTTCAGCGGCAGCAACTGTGTATCTCGCACCCCCATGCACCACACTTCGTCTAACACCGTAAATGCTTTTGCCCCCCTAAACAAAGGTATGGGTTTGGAATGGCCCAACTCCTTATTCTCCTTCCGATTTGCGAGTGCGAGGATCAGGGTCCTCGGTAGGCCTATGGGGCCCTGTCTGCAGCCGAGGTGCCCGCCCTAAGTGAAGGCGGGCCTGGCTTTTTGCAAAAAGACCTTCGACTGTCAATTTCGTATTTGGGGTTCAGGCAGTTGCGACGCGCCAGTTGGTTGAAAGAAACACAGGCCGAGCAACAAGGACATTTCCATGGCCTACCGGGCTTTTCCAAAGAATGCAGGCCCTGGCCGTGATTCGCAGCCTCATACATAGACAGTTGGCCGCCCAACCGAATGAGGCCCAGCAGCCCAGTAGCTGCTGCATCCAGGCAGACTCCTGGGGCCTTCCGGAAGCTTCTGGGCCCAGGCCAAGGCAGCCAGGCTGCGTGAGCAGGCCAACTCTCTCCATAAAGGAAAGAGTTCGACCCTGGCTGCCTCATTCAGGCACTCGCATGCTGGGCGGCAGCGCTGCTGGAGCTTATGCTCGTACGCTGCTGCTAGCGCTGGGAGGTGAGGTGCAGCACGTGCGGTCGTGCAGAGGAGGAGGGCGCTGCTGAGGRCAGCGCCATAGCCCAGCCACCATAGCTGGTGGGCTTGGACTACAGTGAGGCGCAGGGGTGGTYTTYGGGTGACAGAGAGGACAGGTGTGGGTGAAGTCAGGGGATAGGTGAAGGATGATGATGATGATGATGATGTGAGGGCACGTACCTTGTATTGGTGATGGTCTGCATGGGCGGCATCTTCAAGTACTTCGGGCTGCTGCTGATGTCAACAGTTGCATTGTCTTTTTGTAGTCTGTAGTAGCTGTGTAGGAGTAGGCTGGGCGCTGAGCGCCAAGTGTGAGGGTTGAGGAACTGGACTCTTGTGTCGAAGGGAGAGATTATGCTCTCCATGTACATTGGTTTTTCAGTGCTATGAACCTCCATTGGTGTAATATTGGTGCAATGCTGCTCTATGGACACGGTGTGACTATTTGACTTGCAATGTGATGGTGTTATCTGGGATTGTCATCTCGCTGTTGCTTATTTTCCTTGCA